TTCTTTTGCGCTCAAAATTTACCACAAATTATCTGCAACCTAAACATTTATAAAAAACACTTAAATAATGGAATAATTTCCTACTTAGAAAAGTGTAAAAGAACAATTCATAGTTCGAAAAATAATAATAATAATAAATAAAATTTTAGAATTTAAACATTATTTATTATTCTTATTTTTAATTAAATAATTATTTAATATTTTTTGAGAAAGAAATATTTTTTTATACCGATTTCTTAAATTTTTTCACTTCTCATATCATCGAGAACATATTTTTGGTTCTTTTTAATTAGATAATTTTAATTTTTTTTTATTTCGAGATTGGAGTTTTCATTTTCGGGATCCCGAAATATTTCGTTATCTTTAACAGAAGTGTTCTTTATTGCGGTAATAGAGTTCTAATTTTCGGAATTCCAAAATATTTCGGGACTAGTCGGAATTCTCCAAAAGAGTTGGTACAGAGATATAATATTGGTGCCGACAAATTCTTCTAATGCCACTATATTTGGATCTTGTTTACATATTTTTCGGGATTATAATTTTAATTTTCGGGAACCCGAAATATTTTGGCATCTTAATCAAAAACTTTTGTTAAAAATTTTGTTTATTTCGAGACTACAGTTTTTTTATTTCGGATCCCGAAATATTTCGCTACTATTCGAAATATATTCACTTTAGTATTGTTAGCTTGTTAAATATACTAAAAATGACAATTTCGGAAATTTCGAGTATTTACAGTTACTGCGCTAGATTTACCTTATTTACTGAAAAGTAATGTCTAACTGAGCGTGCGAATTCTCGGAACAGAGATAGAATATTGCCGCCGGCAGATTTGCTAAAAGCTTATAATGCCACAATATTTAATTTTTGTCTATTTGCTACTCATCATTTTACCCTAAAAGTACACATCAGTGTCTGTGTACTTCTCATAACGGCATAATTGAAATTCTAAAATTCATAATAGACAAGAACTCGCATCGTGTTGCTAAGCGAAATATTTTTTATGTTAAAATTTAACGAGCACATAGACATTTCTACCTAGTTAAACTAGACTGTCTATGCAAAGCAGAAAAGAAAATAACCAACCGACGACAATCAAACCAATCAAGCAACGAACGCGAGGCAAGGCACACACGAACACTTGCAGAAGTACATTTCCACTCACAAACGTATTTAGGCACTCATATGCGCCCATCGCACCGTAGCTCAATACGCGCGCTTATCCGCAGGGCCTTTTAACGACATACGTGTCTTACATAGTTACTGTCGTGTACGCTCAGCACTCGCATGAAAGTTGAATGTACTCACGGCTTCGCAAATTCTAATTTCCTTGTTGCTTCTCGCGGCGAATAATCATAGCTGCAACGCTTCTCTAAATATTCTGCATCAGCCAAGTCATAGACACGCCGTTGTGTGGCGCGGCTCCTCATTCTGCCTACTTCATACTGTTTGTGGGCCATTAAGTGGCCCGCTGCTGTGTTAAGTACAGCCGCGCGTACACTTACGTGCCCACTTCCAGACTTATGTGTACGTTTATGGCGCATCGTAAAGCTTCAGTCTTGCCAGGTTGGCCGTGTCGGTCGGCGTCGCCGTCGCCGTCGCCGCCACAGTCAAAGCCAGAGTTATTGAAGTCGGTGTCCGCCTGCTGTCGCCGCCAGTTTGTTTTAGTACGTGCAACATTTTCTTTAATTCACAAGTGTGATTATTTTTAATGAAGTGTCAATGCTGGCGGAACACCTATCGGCGGTTGTATACAAGTGTCTGGCCGTGTCACAATAACCGGCAATGAAAGAGACGTGTGTGTGTTTTCAAGCCTTACAAACAAACGTTTTTTTTTCATTAATTAGTTAACAGTTAATCCGTTAAGTGAGCACTTAATTATAGAGAAAAATAGTTGAAGTTGTGATAAATTAAATGAGACAACATTAGGTTATTGATTAATTTATGTATATATAGACTTTGCGTCTGGACAGCTTTCCGATATATTTACGACTTGTTAGAGCTCACTGAAGGCCTTCTCTACAAGTGTTAGGTGAAGAGAGTATGAAGAGCCAAATAAGAAACTCAGCTTAGGCAACATACTCACTCACGATTCTATGATTTCAATTAAAATTTCATACTTACTGTCTTGTTCTTGCAGTAAGTTGCTCGTTTCTGTACAGACTTTTGTCAAGTCAAACTCGTGAGATAGTGAATATGGATCCACACTCTTCTCATTTTAGATGTTCTTAACGCTCAAAAATTCACGGAAAGCGCTATGCGAATGCTCCTGGTTCATCTCGGTCTTCCATGTTTTATTCAATCGGTCCTCAAAGGCAAGTGAATCTTCAAAAACAAGTTTTACAAATGCTCCTGGCTTACTGCGATATTTCACACTTTATTATATCGGTATTCAAAGCCAAGTAGAAGGTCGATAGCAGCTAATTGCTGTGACAGATTCATTTCTTATATAAGATCTTTATGGTTCTGGTACTAATTCACCATTTCAATTGCATCCTTCTTCTTCCAATCTTCCTCTCCGCAATAATTTGCAACCATCTAATCTTTCGTAATATCCAAGATAGAAACTTTTCCGTAATAGCAAAGACAGGAAGAATGAAGCCCATTAGAAGCAGCCAAGTTCTGAATCATGATTCATCATGATTTCTTCGTAAATAACGAAGACGACTTCCGCCAATTTGGAAGACTGAGCTACAATTCAGATAAAAACATTTCTCTCTTAATAAAAGAAAAATATTTATAAATAATACTAAAGATAGAAATAAAACTCAGTAGGTCCCGAACCTTAATTTTTTCCTAAATATCAAAGTCCACTTCCTCTACTAATCTAATCTCTAACATTAATGAATTCCGGTTTGAGTGTAGTGATCTTTATGAGATGCCTCAATACTCTGTGCTCGAAAACTGCGTTCTTGGCCTGACTAATTGTAACCTAATGTCACTTCACATTAAACAAGAGCAATGTTAGACAAGAAGACCCCTCTCGTCCAAGCTATTCAATTCGAAATCTCAAATTCCCTGGTCTTTCACAGAACTAAAGCTTGGGCCTAGAACCTCTCTTTTCGAAATTGAAGTTTAAAGAAGCGCTTTTATTCTCCTCACTCTAGTTACAGAGGCTCGCACTCGACAATTTTCAATTAAATTGTCATCTTCTCCGCTCAAAGCTTACATCTGTACTTTTGAATCTTTAACAGAAGCCTCCATACGTAGCCCTGCACTTCTCTTTTTAATTCCGCAATCATTTCCCCGTCCCTAATGGAGTGCTTGTGCCCCAGCCTTCCTTACGTTGCAGCTCATTATTGCAGGGGACGGAAAGAAACCATAACGACCAGCCGACTTTGAAGAAAAATTAGATACGTTCGCCGCAACAATGGCAACAACCACAAGCAAAGCAAGAGCAGGGGTAGCATTAGCAGTTACACAGCAACAGTTGGCCATGGTCACTGCATGGAGCTTATATGGGCATTGCCAAGCCGACGGACAGACGGACTGGTGCGAGTGGCAACCGCAAATCCAATTAGGCCAAGTGTCAAAGGGCAAATTGGAAATTTTTCAGTTGAGACAAGTACAAGTGCAGCGAGCAAATGAGTGAGCCGAATGCGAGTGTAAGCGCGAGCATGTGTATGTGTGTTGTAGGCCGCTCGGTCGGCTGTACGATTTTGTTGCCTCAGACGCTAATTAAACTTACTGGCTTAATGTGCTGCTTAACAGTAGCCTATGTACAAAGAARACGAAGAAAAACATGCAACCACAACAACAACAGGGAAGTGCGGTGGATCAGTTGATTGCTGTTGGTTTTGCTTTAAGAAGCTAACGGAAGAAAAAATGCAGGAAAATGGCCTTTGTGAAAATAGGCCGCACACGCTTAAGCCCGTTTGATTTGTGGTTTACTGCAGCAGCGCTTGAAAGGTAGCCAGAGCTGGCTGTTGTGGCTGCGGAGACGCGCTCGCATGGTAGGCTGAGGCGCGCTTGTCAGCCAACGTGAAATTCGCTGGATTTAATGCGTTGGCAGCGCAAGGCGGTTTATTAAGTAATTGCGTGGCGAATTTTTGATGGTTTATTTCCCAAGGAAATTAGAAAACCGAAAAATAACTTTTTTTATAACTTTTATTTCCTCAAATCCTTTTTCACATTTCCAAGTCGAAAATATCAAAATTTTCACAGAATGGCGGCTTTTTAGGAAAAATATTGAATTTTACTTAAAAATTGGTCGCTTTTTTGGCCTGGTAAAGGGATTTTGCAGGATCCTACTTCGACAGCTTAAAACGCCGGTTCATTGTGTTAACTGAAACTACTAAATAATTATCATAAGATCCTTACAAATCGACGACCGCTTTCATCGCAGCACTAATTTGTTGAGGCGGCTAATATCAGTTTCGGCAATGTCACTACAGTGATCCGGTAGCCTAAAGCTATCAGAGAGCTGCTTACAGAAAACTCCACCTCTGACCTTCGCTCCATCCATAAAAAAGCTCACCCCGCCTCTTCTCCAGCGATTCCTCCCTATCCGTATATCCTTTTTTCGCTATGTGATCAGAGAAAAATTCGCCACGAGTAACCTCTACGACGCAGTTATCAAAGTTTTCAGGAATGTATTTGAAGCAGTAGAGATTTTTGGTGTGTCCCTATTCGGACCCCTACATATATCCTTCTCTGTGAGGATTATTCTAGCTTGGGTGCAACTGAAGATAACGTTTTTTCTTGTTGTTCATAGATTTCGGATTAAAAAATGTCTTAAATATTATTTTTAATACTTAAAAATATAAATTTTCAAAAAAAAAAGTTACAAAGCCTATATTATATTTATTATTATAAAATAAAACATGTTTATTTATTTTTTACTTTAATTTTATGATTATTTATAATGAAAATGTTTAAGTTTTTTAGTACAATTTTCTCAATATTTTTTTCTTTTTTGTTGAATTCACACATTATTATAAAATTTTTTTCATAAGAAAATCTGCTTACAAATTTTAACAAATTTTTTTTTCTATTTGCAGCCAAGTTATCAATTAAAGTAAGTAAATTTCCAAGAATTATTAATTACTTTTTCTATATGAATATTTTCCCGAAATACTTTTGAATATGCATAATTAGCTGCTCACCTCAAATAATTGTACTGCGGCGTGTAAATCGTGCTCGAGTGTTGCAAAGTGCATATTTCACTTGCAATTATCATTTGAATTTAATTTTTGCAAATTAATTTCCACTGCGATGTGCATAATTATGCATTAACTATTTACACGCACCGTTATGTGTGTAATTTCGAAAATTTTAATGCATTTCTGTCTGCGATTGCGAACTTTTGGATTGTTGCAAGCGGCGCCGTCCATTATTCATGGCGATTTTGTGCAGCAGTCGGAAAAAATTTCATTGACGTTTTGCGTGATAGTTGTTATTGCTCTTGTTATCGTTGCGATGGTCATACCTAAGCGCGAAATTTGAAATTAAAAATTCATTTTAGATTTATTTTCGAATTCCAGTTTGGGCATTTCATATTCGATTAGAGTTTTTTCTCCTTTTAGTGGGGACAGAAATATTTTTTACAAAAACTAGGCAAATAAATAAAGCGCACACAAAATAAAAAGTCAAATAAACGGAATGATTTTTATTTGCAACACAACTATGCAACACGCGCGGCTAGCGGATGTGCGCTGCTATGTGCGCAAACTTTTGCACATGAGTCTGTGCTTTTTATTTATATTTGCATGCTATTTTTTTATGTATGTATATGTGCGTGTGTGCGTGCGAAAAACGCATTTATGCAGTGTTGCATTTATATTAGATTTTCACTTGGCCTGCGGCCGCCACGCTGCGCTGCTGCGCCGCTGACCTGCTGCCTGCTGCCTGCTTCCTCGTTGATGTCGCGCTGCACTTTTTTTTGCTTGGCGTTTTTCGTTTGTTTGCTGCTGTTACAAGTATTTATAAATATTTTTATTGCAACTTTTTTTCGCTTTTCGCAAACAGCGTTGCATATTTTCCGCCGTTTCGTTAGTTTGCCGCGAGCGTTGGGCGCATACATATGCCAGCAATGACTTTCGAAATGCTGAAAAAAATGCAAATTGGATTTCGCTGTGTATGCGCGCATGTGTGTGTGTTTGTGTGCTATTGCAATGCTTTGCACTTCCCGTGAAACGACATGCTCAGTGGCAGCGATAGCGGAAGAAAAACGCTTGGCAGCCGCGATATGGGAGCGTTTTAATGGGGCGCGCAGCACGGACAGCAGCGACTAAATAAGGCAGCAACAACAATTATTAAAAGTAATACAGTCGAAATTTAACTGTCTGTTTTTACACTGCCAGCGGCTGCACCGTTATCAGCGTCCGCAGCCCGCGTTATCGACCACAAGCGCTTCGTGCGCTCAGGTTCAGGTTCAAAACGAGTTTAAATCACGCAAATATTATACATATTATTTATATTTTATTGAATTTGCATATCTCTCGCGGTTGTTGTTGTTGCAGCAATATTATTTAATAAATTCCTGTCACACAAATATGCAAGCAAGCAAACCACTGTAAGTGCCACAAAAACAACAAATGTGTTGCATGCGTGCACCGGAAGTTGTAAATTTTAATCGCGAATTCGCGCTGCTCGCACTCGCCGCCGCCGCCACGTATTGATACGCCATATTTGTTGAATCGCCGGTTAGCTGGTTGTTTGTTTTTGCTTTTCAACAAATGACATTGACATAATAATTATGCAATTAAGTGGGCAAAGCACTTGCTGCAAGTATTTGTTTATATTATATACTACGCATGGCAGTACATCTATACATACGCATATCCATATGCTTATATACCAATACATACAGTTGTTTATGCATGTTTGTGTGTCGTAAACTAATATTTGCATAGCATGTTAATGAAATGGTAATTTGAATGCAGGAAAAGAGCATAAATTTCACGTTTGAGTGACGCCGCGTTAAAAATAAAAATAAATAAATCTTAAAAAAATTAAAATGTGGCATACATTTTAAAAATAATGATAATAAGACAAATTAATTAACTTTACAAAAAAACAATCCATATATATTTTTTCAATTAATTGTTGGACTAATTTTCCTTTTCAAAATTTAACATTTTTTTTTATCAAATGAAATAAACTTAAAACTTTTTTTGTAAATTCAATTATCATTATTAATTTTTGTTAACATTATATTAAATTATTGTTATTCTTTT